AATAATAATAATAATAATAATAATACAAAATAATAATAATAATAATAATAATACAAAATAATAATAATAATAATAATAATACAAAATAATAATAATAATAATAATAATACAAAATAATAATAATAATAATAATACAAATTAATAATAATAATAATAACTATGATGATAATAATATAAAATGATAATAACGATGATGATGATAATAAAAAATGATACTAACGATGCAAATAATAATATAAAATGATAATAATAATACAAAATAATAATTACGATGTAAATAATAATATAAAATGATTAAAACGATGCAAATAATAATATAAAATGATAATAACGATGATAATAATAATACAAAATAATAATAATGATGATGATGATAATAAAAAATGATACTAACGATGCAAATAGTAATATAAAATGATAATAATAATACAAAATAATAATAACGATGTAAATAATAATATAAAATGATTAAAACGATGCAAATAATAATACAAAATGATAATAATGATGTAAATAATAATATTAAAATGATTTTAATTATATAAATGGGAGGGAACTTAAGACTATTCCTTAGAAGGGTAGACTGCGATTATCATTATTATTATTACTAACGATAATAAATTGTACTTCCAGGCAACATCTTGAAGGGTTAAAGAAGATAGAACAAGCGATGAAGGATGTTGAATACTACAGACAGGTGAAATTATGTTATATGTATTATTTATAATTTTTATTTATGTTTTACCCTCTTTTTCATTTAATTAGTGCCGGCATTGTTGACTGCAAGAAAAAACTAAGCAGTCCAATTTTTTTAAAACAAAAATATTTTTTTGTAGGAGGCTGAGAATCTACGAACTCGATACAATGATGTAGTTTTAGAAAACCAAAGGATGGAGCAGGAGGTCACAAGTCTTAGAAGGTAACCCTGGATCCCAACCATACATCTAACCTTGATCCTACCTTGATCCTACCTTGATCCTACCTTGATCCAATCTTAATCCCAACCTTGATCCCAACCTATCAACCAGTATTCCTGAGAAATAATGGAATAATGGAGCGTCACAATTGGATATCCAATAAAATAGTTCAGAGTCCAAATTTTATGAATTTGAGCCGCGTCTCAAATCCGCCCCAAACCGGTTTCAATTGATCGCCGGCTTAAATCTTGAAACATTGAATACAATTTTAAGAGGTACCAATCCTATTTAAGCCACGTCTCAAATTCAAGTCGCGGCTCAAATTCTTTAAATTCGGTCTTAATATGAAACATGAATTAACGATTATCAGCGGAAAAAGAGAGGGAAATGATCTATCATTGATTGCGCGCCAAAATTTTCTCAGCTTCTGATTGGCTGTTTAGATCTGGGAACAGATTTGATACCCAAACGCTTAATCTGAATTCCCAATATGGATACTTTTAATTTCTCTCTATATTTTTCTCTTTTTTTTCGGATATCGTTATTAGATTCTGACCAATGAGAGTTCTTTCATTAAATGGTGCGTAAAATTTTAAATTTCCCGGTTTCTGATTGGCTTTTCGGGATTTTGCATGCGCCACTCTATTGGTTAAAATTTAGACACTTTCCTAGATTTTAATGTAAGATTAAATAAATCGATAAAGGAAAGAGAAGAGGAGATGAACCATTGATCTCGATATACACAATTCTATAGTTTTCAGCTCTGTTCTTTCAATTAAGCTCTTAGAAAAGATAAACCTTGTTAAAGGGAGTGCCAATACAATTTGTCAGGGGTATCACATATCACATTTAGATTATATTAAGTAAAGACTAAAACTTGATACATATTGTGACACATTTTATGTAAGATTTTAGCTAATTTTCATGGGGGTGGGGTGGGGATGGGATGTGGTGGGGTGGGTTGTCAAGTAGCTAATATCGAAATTCTAATATAGTCTATACTTTAAATCCGAGTTCCTAAGGTACTTACACTATGCAGGTTTCCCAGGGCATGCTTTGTATTCATTTATTCCTTGGATTAGTGTAAGAAGAATTAGTTGTTTGATAATTAGCATAAATCAAATCCTCTGTCTGCTGTACATTAGCATGAGCTATTTATTTATGGTATGTCGCCAAAGATTTTTTTTTAAATACTAAATGTTCACAGTTCACACAGCACCTTTCAGTTACAATTTATAAGATCCTTTTTAGTTTTTTTATAAAAGAAATTCACGATTTATTACTCATTATTATTGATTTTTAAAATTAATTTCAGTTTTTAGACATTTAAAAATTAATTTCAGTTGCGTAAACTGAGCTGAAAACTTTTGAATGAGATATCCTTATTCCCAATAACTTAATCTGAGAATCCAATGGACACACTTTTGATTTTCTTCTTAAACCGTTGTTTCTTGGATATATTAGAAAAAAATCTAAAACCGGGTTTTTTAAATTTAGAGAGTCCCTCCCGTTTGTGTAAATAATCTTAAATGGCGCGCAAAATTTTAAATTTATCGGCTCCATATACGGGACTCTGATTGGTTGATTTTTATACACTTTTCAGGATAGAAGTACAAGATTAGGTTAGTCTCGATATTATGAAAAAGAGAGGATCAAGCGTTAATCTCAATATCCACCATTCTAAAGTTTTCAGCTCTTGTTCGTCTACTCCTTTGGTTCAAAATTTGCAAAGCTTTATTACCTCTACAAAACTTTCATGTTTGATTTTGTAATTGAGCCTGGTTAAAAGTCAACTGAGGTTAGAATTATAAATAATGCGAAGTAGTTGAATCATTTCTGACTTGTTGAAGCACATCTGTAATGATAACTCGGGTTCAAATTGGAACAGACAGATTTGATCTTGACAGAGAGACTTCTCTTCAGTTCTTTAAAGGGACTGTAAGCGTTATTTCAAGTGACCCTTCCTGGAAATATGACAATGCTCTATACACAACAGTGTTCTTAAAAGCTCTATCTGATCAAGCATGAATCAATGTTAATGATTTTGAAAACTATTTATTTTCAATTGAGGTTTCTCTACAAAACGATTTGCGCATTTCTCCTGCAGAAAAACATCTTTTAGGTATCAGAATGAAAACACTTTTTCATCTAGATAATTGTCAATATCTTCCACATTATTGATCATATAACGGCTTTAATGGTACCGTTATGAATCGGGCATTGCCATCTTTGCATGGAGGGTCACTTGAAATTACACTTACTGTCTCTTTAAATCCTAACTCTGTATTTATAAGTTTCCAACCTAGGTTTCTTGAGGATGATCGGAAGGAGATCGGTGAGATGAGACGCCAGCAGCAGGAGATCCTGAATATAGAAGGAGGAGGAGAGAGTATGAGTATCATGTATGGTACACTCCTTAGGCAGGCGCTCACGCTAAACAAGCAACATCCTGTTTATAATGGAATATTTTTAGTATCTGTTGATCTCTTATTCAAAATCTGCCTGAAATAGTGTAAAAAACCTTATATACTTAAAATTATAAAATTCAATGTCCAACAAATAAGTATTAAATAGCAAATACGAAAAATCTACATCTAATGGGTAAAGTTAAACTCACTGGACTTATATCCAGGACCTCTAGTTTACCGTGCGTTCACCTAAATAACATTCATATCTACAGATGGGACAACAAACGTTGGAATTTTTTCTGAAAAATAAAATAAATGTGTCCGTTAAGTTTACATGCTCTCCTTTCTAGAAATCATTGGAAATATAATCAAAAAGTTCTTTTATTGATTTGCGCGGTGCCGGTTTTTTTGTTTTTAAACACTTAAATTTGTGGATAACTTCATTTAATCCTCCCTGGTACGATTACCATGCGGGATATCGAATACAGATTAATAAATAAATGACCAATGACAGGATGACAGCTGGTTTTGAAGATTTTATAATTTTCTAAAGAACTCAAGTTAATTTTAATATAACTTTTTATTGATTGCTGAGAGTTGATCTGTTAGGAAATATGAGAGTGTGAAAGATGACTACGGACTCGTTAATCAGAGGTTAGTGTTCAGTAGATTATTTCAGAATCCTTTTCGATGTTGAGGGGGAGGGGGGTAGAGAAATGAAAAAATGGATATCAAGTTTTCTTAGCCTTTTACGTACTTCTTATAAAAAAAATTATTAATTTTTCCAATTCTGCGAAAACAACCGCAACATTTTAGACTCTCTACGCAAACATGCTTAATAGATTTAGGATAGATTTTTAACAGTTTTTGAATAAAATGGCATGTCTGATTCCCAACGTAACCCTTTAAACCTTTGTCTGATAAAAAATGATGAATTGTCCTTCATAGTTAATTTACATTGTAGGTTTCTCTTTGTAAGTAACTAGAATAGACAAATATAAGGAAACTGTCAGCATTTATCACTTTCCCAGATAAAATAACACGATGATATTTATCCCATTTTTCTTCTGATAGTTGGTACCGTTGTGAAACAGGTATTCGACACTTATTTTTGAAACTTTAACATTGTTAAATTTAACGATGCGGGTTGGCTATAAATGTTTCTGTCCAAGGTGGGTCTGTGTCAAATTATGCGTAAATATATAAAAATGCGTTTTTTTTTTGGATTTTTTATACATTTCTGCTCTTCAAAGTAGTTAAATTTAGAAATGTCTGTTAACATTCAAATAAACTTTTGCCGAATGGTATCTGGTCAGAATCAAATCATACCAAGATAAAAAAATATTATATTTCCAAACCTTAAAGTAGTTCATGGTAAAATTGTAAATTGGCCTTAAATTCACACATTTTTTCTGCCAACAGCTGTTTTCATTTTTTTAAATATTTTTTACTTTGCAAGTACTTGAAGAAGTTTTATAGCTTAACAAACTTAGTTTTTTAGTCAGTCATGAATGTTTATGACAAAAATATAAAAAGAACATTTGAATTAATTATATTTAGATAAAAGTTTTTCCAAAATATATTTATCCAAGAAACAAACATTAAACTTACAAGAATTCCGGTGGGTTTACTTTTTTGGAAATCATTCAGATTTAATTTTTCAACTAACATCAAACATCATTATAAGTTTTGCAAAAAATAGGTGTTAACAATGTTTTGAACAGCTTTAAATTATGCATCTTCATCATGCTTTTAATTATATAAAAAGATTTAAGACAAACTTTACCATCTTAAAATAATATACATATATCTTTTTTTTGGAGGAATCTTTGTTTTTGAATATATTGAGAGTTAGTCAGGGAAAAAGATACGGTAGATTGATTTCATTATTCTTTATATTGATGGATAGAGAAAGAAGGAAAACATGAATAAATGAATAAATGAATAAATGAATAAATGAATAAATGAATAAATGAATAAATGAATAAATGAATAAACGAATAAATGAATAAATGAATAAATAGATATATGAATATATATACATTTATACATTTATTCATGAATTAATGAATAAATTAAAATTAATAAAAAAAAAAATCAATAAATGAACAAATAAATACATATATAAACGCATAAATACATAAATACATAAATACATAAATGCATAAATACATAAATACATAAATACATAAATACATAAATACATAAATACATAAATACATAAATACAATATAAACGCATAAATACATAAATACATAAATACATAAATACATAAATACATAAATACATAAATACATAAATACACAAACACACAAACTCATAAACACATAAACACATAAACACATAAACATAAACACATAAACACATAAACACATAAACACATAAACACATAAACACATAAACACATAAACACATAAACACATAAACACATATATAAATGAAGGAAGAAATAAGAATTTATACATTTAAAGATAAATTAATGTATAAATTAATAAATTAATAGATTATGAATACTTGAGTTCACTAATAAATTAAAACAATGAATGGATAAATGAATACATGAATATGGGAAGACATGAATACTCTCAGAAAAATTTGAACCAATGGAAATTTGAACCCTAAAGGGTTCAATAACATACCCAAGGCTTTATTGACGAATCCCGAGTGGGTTAAGTGAGACAATTCTAGATAAATTATGTATCTTAAATAGCTGTATTAAACTAATGGATGAATATAAATAAGTTATTATTATATTTCAATATAATAATAAATATAATAATAAGTTAATATGTCTTAAATGCCTGTATTAAAGTAAAAGATGAATATAAAGGCTAAAATTTAATAATAAATATAAGAATAAGTTAATATATCCTTAATGCCTGTATTGAATTAAAAGACGAATATAAAGGAAAAATATGATAAAAAATATAAGAATAAGTTAATATGTCTTGAATGCTCTTAATGAATATAAGAATGAATAAAAAGGCTAAAAATATAATAAATATAAGAATAAGTTAATATGTCTTGAATGCTCTCAATGAATATAAGAATGAATAGAAAGGCTAAAAATATAATAAATACAAGAATAAGTTAATATGTCTTGATTTCTCTCAATTTATTAGAGGATGATTAGAAATTCCAAATAAAATAATAAGTATAAGAATAAGTTTAAGAATATATAACATGCACAAGGAATACCAATGTTTAACAGGATTAGATTGTAATTTCTTTCATTAATTTTTTATCAAGAAACTCTAGGATGGCCATTTTAGGTATAATTTAAATGAGAATTTATCAATATTCAAATGTGAATTATCATGGACAGAAGTGGTTTAATTGTGATAGCTGGGGTTTCGTCTCTGGTCTGAAGGATGCAGGTCTGCAGAAGGATCAAGGAGATGAAGTCCTTGTTGTACCAGCTAGGGTTGATAGTCCTAAGCCTAAACAAACACTCTAGAAGAAATTCTGTGGCAGTACAAACTTCGGATTGTATATTGCATAAACAAAAAGAATATAACTTAAATGCCTGTAGTAAAGTAAAGTATAAATTAAATGGCAAAAATATAAGAATGAATATAAGATTGAGTTGATACGTAAATGGATCCATGTGTCACTAATCCTCTAAACAATATGATTGGATAAATTGATTGATAAGCTCTTGAGACTATCTACAGTTTATTCTCTCATATTTCTTACACATTTAGCAATAACATTAAGATATTGTTAGCTATAAAAAAATTAAAATTTTAGGGTTAAAAAAGTGATGTGTCCTTAACCATTCTGTTAACAATGTTGTACGAAATGTTTTTAATTTAAAAATAGTTTAGCTAGTTCAATATTACAAACAAAATGTGAGGGTTTCTTTAACAGTACTACATTATATATGAGGGGGGCAGGGGGGGGGGAACTAGATTTATTGAATTTTTTAATGGAACTCAATAAACTACTTTTCTGTTTGTAAATAATAAATTCTTTTAATAATTTATTCAGTTAAATACAAATAAAGCTCAATTTTACATCAGCAATTTCTTGTAAAAGTGGAGTTGTCACTAAATAAACAAAAATCTAATCAGCTAATTGTCCTTAAGATTTTAGCAGACTGGTAACAAACTTGCGCTGCACTCAGGGTGGTCTGCGGGTTCCATGTTTGGTTCTTTTTCAGATTTGATCAAATTTGATTATACTACGTTAAATAAAACTTATTCCAACATTGGAAATTTTCCCTTTAGCAAAATAATTGTTTTCAATCCTAAAATAATTATTGCTTAACAGCTAACAAGTACAATGTTGCTAACTAAACTCCATGATGACTTTTAAATGTGTTTTATAAAAACAATTCCCACTTTTTTATCTGTGAAAAGATTATTTTGATAAACCATGATTAAAAGTTGTTAATTAAACCATTAAGATTAAATATACAACAGAGACAGGTTTTAATTACTTCATTAATTTATCTTAGAATATTTTTAACTTTTTCAGAAACAAGTAATTTTTGTGTCAACTTTAATTATGTGAGGGTTTTTTACATTTAATTTTCCATTCTTATGTTTTCAACAAATATTTAAGATTTGCAAAAATCAAATTATTACCAAATTATTGTGATATTTAGAGTTGGTTTTGAAAATTAAGTTTTGTGATGTTAATCATCTTGTAAAAGTTTTGGTTAAAATGTAAATAAGGAAAACTTATTATAACAGTAATGACAGTTGTTTACTAGATAGGGGTGTGTATTTTTATCTTTACACAATTACTTCTTTTCATTTAATAATAATTTTGTAATTTTGACAATAAAAAAATACAAGTCATCACCCGATTTCCTTTCTATCTAATATCTAAGTCGAACATTTTCTGTGTTGGGATGAACTGGTTTGGAAAGCTGAGTTTTTACTTGAATTAGTTTACATTCCTCTAAACCTATAGAATTTCTTTGGAACACCTCGGTTAAACTTTACTTGGGTTTCCTTAACCTCCTACCAAATATGAAACTGAAAGCGGAAAGGGGGGAATAAACACTATAAACGATTATTTCAATTACATTGAAATCTTGAAATACCTTTGCAATCAAAAATTTACAGAGATTATGTATGGAAAGGATTATGGACCCATAATTATAACAATTATGTCAATAAAATTTTCGAAGAACTTTTAAACTTTTTAGTTTTGTTTACTTCTACAAACCAAATTAGTTTTGTGATCTGTTGTGGAAGTAAAATTATCTAAACTTAGTTAAGGAGTTATTTTCCTTGCTGGGATTGGTTAGGTCTACTCAAATAGTTAAAGCTGAATGTAAAAGCTTTATTTTCCATCTTAGGCTTTAATTACATCATTAATTTTCCATCCAATATACAACAGAGACAGGCTTTAATTACTTCATTAATTTTCCATACTACTTTCAGATATGAAGACCTTGTCGCCTCTCATTCTTCTGCATTAGCTAAACTAGAACATTTACAGGTAGGAATAGTTTTAGTTCTAGTTTTAATAAGGAAGAACATCTTAGAATTACATATATATTAGAGAACATTTATTATTCTTGATTTTCTAAGTTTTTGCTAGATAAATTTCGTTCTTACAATCTTGATCGGGGCCTGTCTCCCCTAAATTATTGTGTTTTATCTTACAATCTTAGAGTTTGTTTAAATCTCGTGTGTAATGCAGTTTACTAAGAGAACTAGAATACTCGGGAATAGGAAGACGACTTGTAGACTTAAGCAATGACTTAAAATAGTTCAAAGACCACAAGACACAGCAATTGTTTATTGTAAACAGACTCCATTAACTTAATAAGAAACACTATTTGCCGCGTATCATCATCAAATACACATAAGTACTGCTGTAATGACGTCTTCCTATTCCACAATTTTTCGGTTCTCACTGTACATTTAGTAATCCAGGTAAGCCTGTACTTACATTGTGAATGATTTAGAGGGTTGGTATTTACGGTTTACAGGCTGTGTAAATTATGTATGTATGTTACACAGTGTAGACACTAGACAGTTCTATATTATGTAAAGTCATGAAGTTTGTGTAGTGTTCAGTTTGCACACCAAGTTAGGTACAGTGTACAGTGTACAGGCACTTTGTTATTTACAGCTTACAGTGTTTACATTAAGTTATGTACATTGTACAGGGTGTATCTAAAGTTATGTACAGTGAACACCTAGCACATGTTGTACATAAAGTTATGTACAGTGTAGACCGTACAGGGTGTGTCAACCTGGGAGAGGAAGGATGCTAGAAGACCTATATTATGCCTGAGTCTAGTTTAACAGGCCACCAAAACGGAATTTAGAGTGAATATTTTAAGTGCTTAAATTAACAAATTACTCTTAAAATATGTAAAAATATTGCCACCTGGGTTAGAACGGTACTTTCAAATTTTTAATTCAGGAATCTCAGGCAAGACAAATATTGACAAAGGATAGCAAGGATAGGTTGAGGGACGGATATCTCATTTTAATATTAAAAAATGGGGGAGGGGGGCCCAAAAATTGTATACTTGGACGAACCCAATATGTTTTTGCTTTAAATTTGTAAATTTATAACATTTTTATATTCTCTTATTTGATTTTCAAAAATACCCATGTATTAGTGTTTTTTTTTTACATTTTAATCATTACAACCTATTTCAGGGAGCTATTTTTGTAAAAATTGCATTTTAAAACATTCCAAGTAGAGTACAATTTTGCTAAGTGTAAAATGATTTCTGAAAAATGTCACAAAATTTGACACCTACTATAGTTTTGGTGTGGCTGTAATGTTACTAAAAACTGTAACTATAATGCAATTCATAAATCATAAATAACTTTATTTTCAAAATAGGAAAGAATCATATTCATTTACTTTACAGCATTAAAGGACCTTAAAGTATATGCTAGAAAACAGTCAAAATAAACTTTTAAAATAGTCTCTAGAAAGGGGGGGGGGTCCAATTATTGTCCCTCTTTTTCAAAAAGGGGGGGGGGTCGACCCCATAACCCCACTCTATATCCGCGCCTGTGTGTAAAGTTTTCTTACTATTGTAAATATATGAAGTTGTTTTTATTTGGATACAATGTTTTCTCTTGATATTTAAAGTAAGTTAAAATACATGACTTCAATACAATTCTATTTTAAACCTCTTAAGTTACATCTAATGAAACACTGTCTTGTCTTTTTATTCTTTTAATTTTTATTAAATTTTTTTTATCTCCTTTCACCATATATGTTTGTGTAAAGTTGATTGCTCAGCACTTTTCTCCTTAAAGGTATTTTAATTTCCAATTCTGCTCCTAAGCTTTCAATATAATAATGCATGTTAAATATCTAAAATTAATCATAATAATAATATAATTGCTAAATAAATTTGAACTTTTTGTGTCACTGTAATGAATGAGGCATTTGTCTCTTCTCTTTTTAGCATTTTAGTCACTCGATAAACATGAAAACCTAAGTTGGCCCCGAAAAAGAAAATTGAGGTTTGCTCTCTTGAATTCCAGGATGTGGTATCCCACAGTATGATGTATTGTACTCTTCTATATAATTAACTATTCATAATCTCACAAACCTCATTAGTTAGAGGATTAATATTCAAACCATAATATTCTCTTCACCTCATCTACTCAAGTCTTCAAACAAGGGAATATATAATGAAAGTATACTATCAAAATGGTAACTAGCTGGAGTGCCCGGTGTTGTCCAAGTTTATATTATTTTTCATAGGAAAATGGAAGTGTACTATTAAAATGACAATGTACTCACATTTTGTGTACACAATAAAAGTGTACTATTGTAGTGTAATGTACTAGTTAGTTCTTATACAAAATACTTGTACCGCAAGTAAAAAATATTGTTGTGTTTCTAAATTTTTCATATCTTTTTAGACAGTAAACACTACGCACATAAAAACAATTATTAAGTTCTGTGGTCAGTCTTTGAATTAAAAAAAGATTTAAAAAATCAAAATAAGCAATATCCTAGTAAAAATCACACGACACCCAAATAAATTGTTACGAATAAGATTTACTTTTTTATTATAAAACGTATTCTCCTATGAAATCCATGGTCATTGGAAACATTTTAACAATCAAATAGAGTATGATTTAAGTTTTGATATTTTCTCCAGGTTTAAAATGTAAAATCTACGTTTTGTAGTCAACATGGAGGTATGCATGGAATTTTGACGTTTTCAATTTAGAAAATAGTTAATGTTGAAAGAAGAAGCTGTGAAATCATTTTTTACATGATTTTTCTAAAACTGAAAGCATTAAGCTAGTTTGTTGCAACCTTAATTGCAGCCACAGAATTGTATGACAGGTTTCTATGCAGGTTTCTTTTCTCACCGCTACTTGTACTGGCGTTGACTGCCCAAATAAGACATATTTCTCTTGTCGAATTTAATGAATTGAAGAGGTTGCTGAACTACTTACTGTCGGTTCTAATCCTTATCACTGTTTGTTTTAAATCCGTATTTATCTTCAACTTTTAATCGGGGATTCAAGATTTGAACCGGTGGTAGATAGTTCAGCGACCCTGTTCAAATCCATTAAATTTGGTTTACATAATTTATTTGTTGTATTATGTACAGGAGGAGGTGCTACGGTACAAGAAACAGTACGAGGAAATTCTATCAGAGAGGAACAAGTTCAAACAGCAATGTACTCAGGTTAGTATACAGAGTGTCCCAATAAACATGAGAATTAAGTGACGACTTCCATGTTTATCGTTTTTGTTCAGTCTTTGTTGAGTGCGGCGTTATTACGTGAACACAATTTTTCCTAGCATCGCAGTTAAAACAATTGTAAAATAAAACTGCTAGTAATGGTAATTTCTAAATGTGGTTTAAAATCTTTGCACATTAAAAATTGACGGAGATACGAAGAAATCTGTCCATATTCTTATTTTTTAAATAGCAAAAAAAAATTAAAAATTTTTATAAATCAGTTAATTTTGACGATTCTAAAAAGGCATCAGAACCACATTGATTTTCGAAAGCTTAAAAGACGTACATTAAAATGGATGTTTTTTTTTGGGGGGGGGGGGTTATAATTTAAAACTTTATCTGTTTGTTAAGTATAGACTTAGAATTAGGTCTGTTCATGAATCAAATTGAGCCGGTACATGAATAAGATAATTCAAATACGTTAATGATTTAAGCCAGTACATGAATTGATTTGAGCCAGAACATGAATTTTTAAAAAGAATTTTACAAGCATATGCAATATGCATAGTATAACATTTTTTCTTTTCATTGGTTAAATGAATTATTTGACTTAATCAAATTGCGACTTAGCTCTGAAAATATATTATATTTTCTCTGCTCATACCCTACTCTCCAATCTCTCCCCCTCCCTGCTCTCTAATCTACTCCCCCTCCCTACTCTCCAATCTTTCCCTCTCCCTACTCTCCAATCTACTCCCTACTTCCCACATCCAAAATCATCCCCCCCTCCTATCCTGGCACCTTCCCCTCCTTGTTGCCATTACCTCCATCTTTTATTCTATAAAATCAAATCAAACTAACACCATTTCTTCCTTTTTATAAATACTAAGTAATCCTCGGTTCTTCACTCCTCCATATTCTTTTTACCCCCAGCCTAAACTTATTCACTTAGCAATCAGCCTTTTGTGTTCACTCTGCCTTTCTCCTTCTTATTTTTACAGATCTTTAAAGATCTTATTTCTTTTTGTTCTGTTTCTACTGTTTTTGTGAACAACTGTAAATTGCAGGTTTTCAGAGTCACTTTTTTATTTTGTAAATATCATTTGGTAAAATAAATTTGACATTTCTAATGGGACCAAAATGAAAATTAAAAAACGGTCCAAAAAAATGTTATTCCACTGTTAACAACAACTAAATTAATTAAAATAATATTTTTTAGGCAATTCGGCAATGGGATCAGGCGCTACGGGAACGGAACGAGTTCAGGGATGCTCTTGCCAAGGTTCAACGACAGCACGAGGAGGCTGTCAAGGAAATCAATCAAGCAATGGCAATCAGAATCAAGGTGAATCAATTGTTTTTTCTTCATTTTTTACAATTAGTTGAACCAGCTGTACCTAGTTTGAATACCTCGTACGCTGACTTTTGAAATTTTTTTTCAATTTTAAAATTTAATCTTAAAAGATGAATTCGTTCCTCTCTTATTTTCTATTTTTTAAAAATTAAATCGATATTCCACCTAAAGATGATGGACTAAACCTCATAGAGTTATTAAAGGTGATGTTAGTTCCAGATTTTATTGAAAATATATTTCGGTCTGGGGTGATAAGATAAGATAACCATCAAAATCGATAGTAAAAAATGTAAAAACCACAAGGAAATAAACAAACATTGTTTTGTCATAAAGATTCACAACAAACTGTTTATAAAGATAGTTTTTAACTTGTAAGGAATTGAATTACTTATTGGGTGTGAAAAAAATTTTTAATGAGAAGAAAAAAAGATTCAATTGATTATAAAATTTATTTACTATTTTTAGAAAGGAAGGGGGGAAGGGGGCGGGTCATTTTCTTTACAAAGAAACTAAAATACCTTAGACTTAAATTTTTAAATCTTTGCAACCTAATGTCGCAGGCGATATCTTTGCGACCTGATGCCAACATACTTAAAATATGATTCTGTCAGACAAAATCTAGACTAAGTTTGAAATTGTTGTTTAGGCGAGCAAAGATATAAAGAAGTTGACCGACGAGCGAAATTCAGCAATGCAGGTTAGTTTTCAACATTGAATGGAGTGTTTACTAATTTAGAAAAAATATCATACTCAAATTTTAAAAGCAGGAAAAAAACAGACAGTTTCAACAGCTAAAAACCTTTATGATAAATACTTTCTGTTAAAATAATCAAAGCGTTTTTATGAGAAATGTGGAAGAGGGTTTTTAAGGTAATAGTTAAGCTCTCAAGAGTGGAAGGTAGTTTAGCTTCAAAATATAAGCTAAACTCATTCCATCTCGAATCTAGTTCTACATATTGTTTAAACTAATAGATTGCCTGAATACTACTACTTCTATTCTATTCTGTCATTATCAATCTAACTTCTTGTTTCTATTGAAACACAGATACAGCTATCCATGGAAGATACAGATACAGATATCCAGGGCAGATACAAAACTTTATTCAACCAGGGGAAACTTTTCTTCAGGGGCAATCCATCTTTTCCCGAGAAGCATTGAATTCCCTGGGCAATAAGGGGCAATTATGTATTTTTCTTAGAGCAATTTAGTTTGTCCTTACGGGCAATCAAGCTTATTTCTGTGGACATTGAAGCTTCTCTTAAGGGGCTATCAAACTTTTCCAAAAAATGCGCAATTTTATTTTTTCATAGGGGAAATCCAACATAGGGGCAGACAAAGGCAATTGAAGTTTTCATTTGGTAGGCTTTTATATGAGATAATTCTTCTATTGTATGAAATAAATGATCTTTTCTATGAGATAACTGTTCTATTCTATGGGATAACTGCTCTATTCTTTGAAATAACTGTTCTATTCTAGGAAATAACTACTATTCTATGGGATAACTGTTCAATTCTAGGAGATAACTGTTCTATTCTATGAGATAATTGTTCTATTCTATGAGATAACTGTTCTATTCTATGAGATAACTGTTCTATTCTAAGAGATAACTGTTCTATTCTAGGAGATAACTGATCTATTCTAGGAGATAACTGTTCTATTCTAGGAGATAACTGATCTATTTTAGGAGATAACTGTTCTATTCTAGGAGATAACTGATCTATTCTATGAGATAACTGTTCTCTTCTAGGAGATAACTGATCTATTCTAGGAGATAACTGTTCTATTCTAAGAGATAACTGTTCTATTCAATGAAATAATTGATCTATTCTAATAGATAACTAATCTATTCTATGATATAACTGTCTATTCTATGATATAACTGATCTATTCTAGGAGTACGCTATGATAATGTCGGAAAGGGACTCTGTACACAAGGAGATAGAGAAACTACAAGAAGAGGTAAAAAAAGGGACTGTAGAGGTAATTTTATAGTAACCCTCCATTTAAAAAGCGGGGAATGCACGATTCACAACGATTTCCTTTAAACCGTTAAATGATCAATAATGTGAAAGATATCGGCTTTGTTCTTTTTTGGAAGATGTTTTATTCGCACAATTTCACTTTTATAGAGAATCCACAATTGGAATTCATCAATAAGAATCAAATAGAAAACCACGGATATCTTATTCAGTCCTGATCAGACAGGGCTTAAAAGGGTAAAGTTGTTAAAAGAAAATACTTGAAATTACATTTTAAGCACTGGTTATTTATTTTTGACGACTGTCATTGAACTATTGAATATTGTTTTGTTTTTGTTTGCATTTAACGTAAATATTCGAACGAATGGTTTGAAAAAATTCGATTAAATCAAGAAGACACTTCAAAAGAAGAAGGCAAGAATAATCAAAACAAGTGCCAAATATTTTCACTCTTATTTTCAATACTTGTTGGAATCATCTATACATAGCGTCCCATATCATATTAGATTATCTCCAATCTTTAACACCAAAATAAACCCTTAATACTCGAAAAACTAATCATTTTTCGCAAGAAAATTCTTATATAAGCCTTATGTTATTTTTCAAAATGATTCATTCTAATCAAATTTTCTAATTAGTCCCGAAAATCGTAATTTAGACCCGTTCTCGGTCTAATATGATGTGGGACACCCTGTATAATAAAGCTCTTTAATCATATACAGTGAAACCCTTAATAACGAATACATCGAAAGAATTCATCAAATGTAGTATTCTTCACTTTATGATAATGGAATACTGCAGTTTTTTAACTAAATGATTATAAGGAACTCTTTAAAACTGTTCCCGCATATTCATGGCTATTTATTTATTTTCGCAAATACTGAAATATACGTAATATAGTATAAAACTCATTGAAAAATTGTCAAGACGACATTTGATAAATTCTTCCGAAGTATTCTTTATTAAAGGTTTCACGTTATATGTTTGCTATAGCAAGTAAAGCGGCTGGACCAAATTTTTAAAAAAAAATCTATTGTTTTCAAAATTCGAATTTTTTAAGGGGTTTAAAACTGAAGGGGCAACGCCGGACCTGCAGCTAGTAATTTTATATTATAATTATCATTGTCTAGGTTTCCAACACGAACCAGCGAATGAAAGAGGTGGAGAGTAAAAGTAAAGCAGAAGATGACGAGAAGAGACGATTAATATGTAGAGTTGAACTATTGAGGTGAATTAATGTTATATCTTTTTCTGATAACCGATGCGGGATATCGTCATTTTTCTAGCTTGAATATTTTTAAATTCTTACAATTGGTTCGGCAGCAATAATGCGATAGACACTTTTGTAGAGACCCCACAATTTAAAAAAAAAAACTATTCTTTTAAGAATGTCATTGTAAATTGAACATGCAACTCTAGAATTGTCGAGATACTTGAAATAACGTCTACACTCTACACTCTACACTCTACACTCTACACTCTACACTCTACACTCTACACTCCACACTCCACACTCCACACTCTTCACTCTACTGTCTCTTTAAATGTATATATTAAGGCGAGAGATCGATGCTGCGTTGTTGGATAGGGATAGAGCTATCAAGGATACTCATGAACTCAGGGAGAAGTTGGGAGAACGAGATAAGGCAGGGGAACCAACAGTTTGTACAACAGTTTGTACAACAGTTTGTACAACAGTTTGTACAACAGTTTGTATTTTTCACAACATTGTTCAGAGAGTATGAGTTATAACAATTTAGCTGAAAATGTTTAGTCCAAAAATATTGCCAAAACAGTAAAATGGCTGGGCCATATAAGAAATTAATTTTAAAATGCAAATATTTAGTATTTTAGCTATTTTGACCATAAGGCTTCATAAAAACGTATCATGGAGGATCTACCTACAGTATACATATAGATGCACCATTATTCAGGGGGGTGGGGCAACTTTAGATTGACAATAATTTAAAATTTCAAAAAATGCTCAAAAATAACTTTAGCTGATTTCGGTTTTTTCACCAAGATCAAGTTTTTTAAAATCAATTGCTATTAACGGGTTGGTTGATTTAAATTGAAAAATTAAGAGTGTTTTTATCCAGTGCAACATTGATATAAACCGTTGGTTTTTGATTGAACAGGGAACTGGAAAGAGCAGTTTGGGTTTCGATCTGCGAAAGGATTACGTGTCTCGGCTGGACATTGATAAGCACAAGGAATTGGATAATTTTACAATTGTATCCCAGATACATCTGGTGTTAACTTTTTGAACTAAACAATTATTAATACGATTTTGATTGGTTGATAATTGTCCAATACGTAGACGCTGAGAGATAGTATTTCTAGCGAAAATCTGGAGTCCTCTCATGACACGGAGACGATCAAAAACAATAAGGTGGGTTAAAAGTCTTTTAAGAATTAAACAATTTCAGCAAAGTGTTTAGAGTATTTTATTATTTTATTTATTTATTTAGTATTTTATTATTAATTATTTTTATTTTATTTTAATAATAAAATGCAAAAATAAAAGATAAAGGCTCTAATAATTCAATTTGGCATAGTATTAGAAGGATTTTATGATTTTTGTTGTGTTTTTTAATTATTTCAACCATGGGTTCTACATAGTTAGCTTTTATGAAAAAAGTTTGAATCCTGGTTCAAGCATTAATTTGTTTACAGCTCCTAAGCAGGTACAGGGCAGATTACTGAGTAAAAAATGGGATATATTTCCCAGCAAATTGCTTATCCCCCCCCCCCCC